TTTTTTTTTTTGGTAGAGATGAAGTCTCGCTATGTTGCCTAGGCTGGTCTTGAACTCCTGGCCCCAAGCAGTCCTCATGCCTCAGCCTCCCAAAGTGCTGAAATTACAGACATGAACTACTATACCCAGCCTCATCATAATCTTTTAAAAAGGGTATTCATATCCCAATAAAGATGAAACCCACTGGTGGAGTGAAAAGAGGTCTTAGAACAAAACCTTAGGGGGACTATTTGAAATAAATTCTTGAACTTTTGAACACTATGTACTATTCTGTGCCTTGATGGGTTTTTTCTCTAATTTACTCTATCTTAGGGAATGTTTATAAGATTAATTTAGCCTTTAGTTATATAAAGAAATAGAGAAAGGTTATTCATTAACTGGTCTTTGAAACTTATACTACTAGCAGTTACCAACCATTGGTCCTAATGTTAAAACCGTTTTTGGCTGGGTGCAGTGGCTTACACCTGTAATCCCAGCACTTTGGAAGTCCAAGGTGGGTGGATCACGAGATCAGGAGTTCAAGACCAGCCTGGCCAAGATGGCGAAACCTCCTCTCTACTAAAAATACAAAAATTAGCTGGGCATGGTGGTGAGCACCTGTAATCCCAGCTACTCGGGAGGCTGAGGTAAATAAATAAAAATTTAAAAAAAATAAAACTGCTGCCGGGCACTGTGGCTCATGCCTGTAATCTCAGCACTTTGGGAGGCCAAGGCGGGCTGAGGTCAGGAGTTCAAGACCATCATGACCAACATCATGAAACCCTGTCTCTACTAAAAATTAAAAAAATTATCCGGGCCTGGTGGTGCATTCCTTTAATCCCAGCTACTGGGGAGGCTGAGGCAGGAGAATCGCTTGAACCTGAGGGGCAGAGGTTGCAGTGACCCAAGATCACACCACTGCACTCCAGCCTGGGCAACAAGAGCAAAACTCCATCTCAAAAAAAACAAAACAAAACAAAACTGCTTTTTATGAGTTTTTATGAGTTTTTTAACTAACCTCTTTAAGAGTAGCAAATCTTAAAATTTTTGTTTATTTTTGTGTAAGCCATGAAATATTGTATATAGTATGTTTCTATATGCTGTTTTTAAATATCCAAATTTTATTACCAGAAATTTATCACAGACTTGTTCCTTTTTAAAATTTCTAATTTATATTTTCTAAATTTTTTTAATAGATGAAGGTTATTCTTTCAGCAGTGTCCTGTATTACGGAAATGAAGCTACCCTTCTTATTTTTGATTTGCTGTTCTTCTGTGTGGTGGATTTGGCTTGCCAAAATTTTATTTTAGCAGCCTTCCTTACATATCTACAACAAGAGGTAAATTTAAAAAATTTTTCTACATTTCCTTGAGAGAAATATGTTAGTAGTAGATATTTATTTTCATAGCAGAGAGTAGCAGTGTCTGCTTTCACTACAATTTTGTAAAGGCTTAGATATGACTAATCCCACCAAAAGAAGGAGTCACATTTCAATCAACTGCACTCTGTCCTTCAGGGCCAATGAAATACTGGGGCCTAGTGGAGGGCATAAGTTGCCTGATTGTACTTGGAAGAGGAATCCTGTAGGAAGACACTTAACTGCTAGTCTCCTAGATGCTACAAGTGAACAGTAATTAGAGTCCTTTTCACCCTCTCCACCAGATAGATGTTAATGTAACAAAAAAGCAAGCACTGGAGAGCTAGCTCAGGGCTCAGCACCAAAGGGAAGACCCCTTTAGCTTGCAACTTTGACACCTTCCCTACCTGTGTGAATAAAAAGCAACTTTGTGTATGAGTGTGGACTCTGAAATGGAGATATCAAGAAATGGCAAATCTGTTCTTGAAATAGTGTTATTATCAACTAAATATTCTCCCTTATGTCAAAGAATATATACGAGTAAGATGCAATTTGTTAGTCCTTGACAGTGATCTAGAATTGTGAAGAAATACTGTCCTTAGCAAGTAGATTCTTTTGATGTTTCCGTAGCTTTTAGACTTAGAAGAAAGTTGCCTTTCTAAATATTTTAAAGTGTATTCCTGTGAACATGAGAGAATTTGTATTATTAATTCATAAGAATTTATTCTAAATGAGAACATACATTGCTTTGAAACTATGAAAGAAATTATCATCTTGAAATAACTTTGTGTTTCACCCTGGGATTCAGATGCCTGGTACATGAAAATAGTTAAGAGAATTAGCTAATTTAATCTAGATATTTTAATTGATGTGCATATTTCATTTTGTTTAAATTTCTTTTCATTCTGAAGTGTTTTAATTTTCCAGATTTTTAGATATATCTGTAATACAGTAGGACAAAAGAATTTGGCATCCAAAACATTGGTGGATCAAAGATTTTTGATTTAACTTCCTGAATAAATAACTTAAAGACTCAATATAATCATGGCCAAAAGAAATTGTCATGATATCAGGTTAGTTTGTCGTATATCTTAAGACTTGTAATGTAAACTATTCTGTTTTTGTTTTTTATTTGCAGAAAGATTTATTTTTATAATTTGGGAATATATAATGTGATATAATAGAAAATACTGTTTTCCTATTGTGTGTGGTATTTAATACACTAAGTAATTAACACTGACAGTGAGGCAAAAAAGAAATCTAAATGTTGCTTTCAGCATAGTACTTTTTAACGATAATTAAAACAGTCTCCATTTGTCTCTGTAGCTTATTTTATAAACTGAGAGCTGTCTGAATTTTCTCACATTGACAAAATAATTTGATTCCAAGTTCAAGACTAGTTTTCAGTTTGATATTTTCATGTTTTATGTGCTTATGGTTAAATAAATATTGAAAGATGTTTTCAAGTTTACTTAGAAATTTTAAATTGTGTTATCGATGATTTAATTTGCCTCATTCTAATTGTTCACCCTATTTGGCAGTCAATTAATTCACTGTTGGATTAATATACATCTCATGAAATGATACCTATTCATTCCTTTGTATACCTGTATTAGGTCAGTATACTCTTTCCATGAAATATATTCGCCTTTCTAACATAGTTTACACTTATTAAGCTATAATGTGTGACATTTTTCCCAATATTGTTTTTTATACATTTTAATTTCTTAATATTTTAAGAGTTCTCTCCCCAAGTTTTGCTTTTTCAATTATGTTTAAAGATTGTAAATAACAAACTATAAGGCTGGGTGCTGTGGCTCACACCTGTAATCCCAGTACTTTGGAAGGCCAAGGCAGGTGGATCACTTCAGGTCAGGAGTTCGAGACCAGCCTGGCCAACATGGCAAAACCCCGTCTCTACAAAAACAAAAATTAGCGCTGTGTGGTGGCACATGCCTGTAATCCCAGTTACTTGGGAGGGTGAGGCACGAGAATTGCTTGAACCTAGGAGGTGGAGGTTCTGGTGAGCTAGATAGCACCACTCCACTCCAGCCTGGATAACAGAGTAAGACCTGTCTTAGGAAAAACAAAACAAAACAAAACTGTAAATGTATCATGTTTCTCATTGCTTTCTATCTTAATGCTATGTAAATACTTAAAATGCAATACTGTACAAATATTGTTTATATTTTCTCAGTTGAAAGTATATACTTAAAGATTTGGTGTTTCTGTTTCTGTTTGATTAATGTATATTTCATGCATTTAGGAATATAGCATTATTGGGGCAGAGGCCCCAGCCATTGCCAAAGTTGAATCTTTCACATTTCCCTGAATCTTGAGGATGACTGAAAAGAAAGTCTTTGAAACTACCGTGTCTGAAGGATCACAGTACAGAAATGCCTTTATAAAGGCTGCAGAGATAGATACATGTACTGGCATTGGATTTTTAAAACCACTCACTCAGAAGCATAAGTAAGAAATTCAGCCATCATTCAACACAGAAGTTAATTTTAGTGTAAATGTTTTTAAGTATTAAATTTCACAATAAAGGATTAATTGGCTTACTTGCTGATAAAACACAGAAAACATTTAAAATCATTCTAAATTAATTTTGTGTGATATTTTTATTTTGGTTAGATGCATAAAAATGAGTTTAGGTTTTCGTATACTGTTGACTCCTTTGTTCACATTGTCACAATTTACATTTCATGATCATGTGCGTAATTATTCACTAGATTCATTACCCTTTGTCTATAGTACGCAATCACTGTACTTTGAATCTTATATCCCTGATTTTACAGAAATATTTGATGTCTCTTCATCATTTCATAAGAAACAAAACCTAGAGAGGTTGTTTAGAAGCTGTTGTGCACTTCTTCGTATGCCCCTTAGAAACATATAGGCCCTTAAAATATGTCTGTAGACCAGTGCCTTGGTTATGAGAGATTTGTAAATGCTTGCTTCTCTGGCACTGCTTTCCTAACTAACTGCCTTTTGAGGGAGCTTTGCTGGTTACCTACATTGAGGAACATCCAAAATGATCATTAACTCAGCTCTTGCAAGTATGAAGCATGTATCCTTTTGGTAAATATTGACAAATATAAGCTGAGGGGAAATAAATGTAAGTCAAGGAGCAGTGAGCAGTGTGGCTTAATGGAAAATGCTCCAAATTTAGTAACAGAAGTCCTGGATTCAAATTAGAATTTTGCCCCTGTTACTTACAAGCTTTGGTATCTTGAACAAAGTCATTTGGCATCTTTGAGCTTCATTCTACATCTCTACAATGAAAATAATACCCTTTGCTTACCACTTGTTGGAAGGATGTGTGTGTGTGTCTGTATAATGGGGTCTCACTCTGGTCACCCAAGATAGAATGCAGTGGCATGATCTTGGCTCACTGCAACCTCTGCCTCCTAGGCTCAGCTTCCCAAGTAGCTGGAACAATAGGTGTATGCCACCACGCCCAGCTAATTTTTTGTACTTTTTTGTAGAGACAAGCGTTCACCGTGTTGCCCAGGCTGGTCTTAAACTCCTGAGCTCAAGAGATTCACCCACCTCGGCCTCCCAAAGTGCTGGGATTACAGGTGTGAGCCACTACACCTGGCCAGGATTAGGTTCTTAAAATGTACTTTTAACGTTGGGTAAACTATGAATGCTGGAGTTTTTATTTTTAGTTTAAAATATCTGATCCAAAATATATTTTTATCTTGCTAACAAATTAATAATATGATCTCAGTAACTGACCAGTGAAAATTCTGAGCCTGCCTTCTTCCTCAGCCACCCCCAGCTCCACCAGTAAGAGGCCTAGATAGGGTCACTGATACATGTAAAACAAAAGAAGACAGCACCCCTTTGGGAGACACAGTTCATCATAAAGAGTGGAGAAGACAGGAAGAGTGGAGTATTGTCTCTGGAAGGGAGGGTTTCTTTCATTTGCTCACTCATTCATTCATTCATTCCAACAATGTTTCTACCTCTTTCCACTCCTCAGCCCCTCAGAAGGGTCTTATAATTAGTAGAAGAAACAGGCAAATTAACCAATAATTACAGCAATATAAAAAGTGCTGCATTCCCTGGGGTGTGATATAAGGAAAACTCTTAACTGTACTTCTGGGACATCGGGGCCTCAGTGCTTTGATCTCAGAGAAGTGGATTTGATTTAAGATTTTTTTTGTTGAGACGGTGACTCACTCTGTCACCCAGGCTAGAGTGCATTGGCATAATCTCGGCTCACTGCAACCTCCACCTCCCGGGTTCAAGCAGTTCTCCTTCCTCAGCCTACTGAGTAGCTACGATTATAGGCGCAAGCCACCACGCCCAACTAATTTTTTTGTATTTTTAGTAGAAGAGGTTTCACCATGTTGGCCAGGCTGGTCTCTAGAACGTCTGACCTTGTGATCTACCCACCTAGGCCTCCCAAAGTGCAGGGATTACAGGTGCCAGCCACCGCACCTGGACTGATCTAAGATTTTAAGACAAAAAAAAAAAAAAAAACAGGTGCAACCAAAGCAAGGAATAGTACGTACTTGGAGACGAAGCACATGGCAGTTTGGAGCACTGCGGCCCATTTGAACACAGAGTACATGTACTGTTTATATTTTTAAAGTTTTCTGTATAAGATGTTTTGCCATTTTAAGAAACTTTCCCTTCTGGGGAGTGATTGTCCCTCCTGGTACTCCCCAGTTCTTCTAGACAGCAAAGGACTCAGGTGGGAGCATACCTTAGATATACAAACTAGCCCTGGGCCACACCTCCTCTGTCTGGCCCTGAAACCCCTGGAGGCAATGTTCGTCGTCCTTAAATCATCCCAGGACCAGGTAACAGGCAACTAGGGACAACCTCTGTAGTTTAGAGCACACTGAAATTATTCCAACAAGCCTATCCCAAACTTTTCACCCTGCTCTGCCTTGCCATTTCCTCGGAAACTCCAGTAAGCGCCCAGGCTCTCCCCTGGCTCCTGCTGCTCCTGCCTCCCGATGGGTGCTTTCCTCGCCGTGGCTGTGCATGGTGTGCTGTGCCTTCTGTTTGTAGGACCTGTGAGTGTAAGAAACTTTTTCCTGTGTCTCCTCTTGTCATTCCTCACTGATCACTACATAAAAGAACATAGAACAGTGCATTTGGGGGTTTTGGGGAGTGATGAGGTTGAAAAGGAAAAAACAGGAGTCACATCATTAAAGGTTTTTATGTTGGGCCACCCCTCCATCATGTGCATGGAGTGTTTAACCAAGTTGGAGACTAGTGCTCCTGCTCTGTTGCCTGGCTGCATGTTGTGGTTTGCAAGAAAATGCATTGCCCATAAAATAGGCACCAAAGGTAGTAGTTGAAAGCACGGACCCTGGAGCCAGACTGGCCTGTGTTCAAGTCCTGGTTGCACCACTTACTGGCTGGGCAATTTGACCAAGTCATGATTAAATGTTCTCATCTGTAAAAGACGTAAATAGTACCTACCTCAAAGACTTAATTGGGAAGATTAAATGAATTATTGTGTGTACAGTGCTTAGGAAAGTGCCTGGCACATAGTAAATGGTATGTGAGTATAAGCTGTGTAATAGTAGTAATAGTGGTAGTAGTTCCCATTAATATTTAGTGCAGAAAGAGAGACCCAGATTAACCACCAGAGACTACATTAAGACACTATCCACCGGGCACAGTGGCTCATGCCTGTAATCCCAGCACTTGGGGAAGCTGAGGGGAGCAAATCACCAGTTTGGGAGTTTGAGACCATCCTGGCCAACAGGGTGAAACCCCATCTCTACTAAAAATACAAAAATTAGCTGGGCGTGTGGGGTGTGCCTGTAATCCCAGCTACTCCGGAGGCTGAAGCATGAGAATCGCTTGAACCAGGAAGTCAGAGGTCGCAGTGAGCTGAGATTGCGCCACTGCACTCCAGCCTGGTGACGGCAAGACTCTTGTCTCAAAAAAAAAAAGACATTGTCTCATTGCCGGGTGTGCTAGAAGTAGCAGTAGACAAACTGCCTGCCACACAGTAGTCTGTGGGCTTTAAAAAATAACTGCTTCTGTTATTTTTATGATAATTATTGCTTCTGTTGTAATTATTATTGTTCCAAGGAATACATGGCTGTGGCCCAAGGATAAATAAATGATCACAGATGATCAGTAGAATGAAGTCCAGGGCATGTCCACAGGTGTGTGGATATGTATATACACACACATAGCAAGGGTGGCATGCAGTGCAGTAAGGGAAAAGTGTTTTTTAGGTGTTCCATTGAATATCTCAGTGGAAAAAATGCATACCCATGTGTCACACTTACACAAAAATCAATTTCAGGTGGATGCTAGATCTAAATGTGAAAGGGTAAATGGTAAAGTTTCTAGAAGATAAAAGGGTAATATAGTCATGACTTTCATGTGGTCTTTTAGTTTTCTGTTTTGCTTCGAGACAAGGTTACTCTCTGTTGCCCAGATTTGAGTGCAGTGGTGCAATCATGGCTCACTGTAGTCTTGACCTCCCAGGGTCAAAT